TGAATTGCAGTTGTGCATAGGTGGTACTAAGGATGGGATAGAGGGGATGGCACCACCGCAAAATGCTTAGCATGTAAATTATAGTTAGAAACATATCAAAAGTTGTCTAAAAAAGTGTTATTTTATAATATTACCACATTGTTGTAATAATAAAATTAGATAAATAAAATGTGAGAGAACAAGGGCCTTGTATGTGTATCTATGAATTACGCCACCACACCAATGTAATTTTCACCAAAGAATGCAATGTGATGGAAATAATCTGATAGAAATTGGCAGCCTCTAATATTAGCTAAGAAAGGCTCTCTAGCATTTTATGCTTACAAATATGTGTGTTTAAATAAAAATGAATTCCCAAACTGAATTGATGTTACAGCATGTTTGGAAATAATAATAATAATAAAAATATTTTAATTTCAAGTATTACCTTGGCTTTACTTCCTAAGTATGGAGGGCTGACTCTGCCATATTTAAAACATAAATAAATAAATGCTCAATAAATAAATAAGCATACAATTAATTGCCACCAAAAATACAATAAACAAATAAATGTAAGTAGAAATTTAATTATACAGTGAGACATAACTGTATATAGCTCTTTTAATTAGCTTCTTTATTCATTTGCCTTTGTAATATTTACCTTATTTATTTTACGGTCCTTTATAATCTTCCACTTTATTTTTCAATTACTTATATTTTTATGTATTTATTTATGTGCATGTTATATTTTTGTCTCTTTTATTCTTCCTTTGTATTTTTTTACCCTAGTTATTTCTTGGCCGCTATTTATTTCTGCCTGCCCTTTTTACATTTCTGTATGCATTTCTGCCTCATTATGCATATGAGGAGGGGATGTGTCCTAGGAAGTCAACTTCTGCTCATTGTGCTCATTGCTCATCAACTTCCTGTCTGAATATTATATCACTTTTAACCACACTAATATTTAAAAGCACTGAACCATATGGGATAATAGCTATAGTTTTAAAGTTTTCACAAAAAAACAATGTGAAAATTAGTTCAATATTCAGTGAGTTATAGTTGACTAAAATTGATTCTGTCCCTGGTCAACACATTACACTCAACAGAGCAGTCGACCGCCCCAAGATGGCGCCCCTAAATCTCGTCAGCCCCTATAGGCGATAGCGGTCGATGCGGGTACTACCACTGCATGAAAAGTGAGATTTTCGTCCCCGTAAACCCCCGTAAACTCCCGCAGATCTGCCTGATTTTCGTCAGTTTCCGACAATTTGCAACCCGTGCTTGTCCGCGTTTGTCGTGCCACAAATTGTCGAAAACGTACCATGACATATGTGGAGAGCGATCAGCTGTACTAATGGCCCTAATTAGACACTTATTAGGATATGAATACAGCAAACCCGCGCGGCTGGCCAAGTCTGGCTTGAATAACNTTTTGCATTTAAGACAAAAAAAACTTTTAGTCTGTCAATATTCTCCATCCAGAACTCCTCAAGAGGAAACGTTTCTGTTTCACCTGGGGTCATTTCGTAAAAAAATCTACTTTTAGGAACCTTTGGGTGATCTGAATATTAATCAATTCATCAAAAAAATTAATCAACAGATTAATCAATTTGCAGAATAATCATTAGTTTCAACCCTTATTTTATGATAGCATTCCAAACACATTTCTTCCATCATGCAGCACTGAAGGGCAGCTGCTTCACCATGAGGCTGCCCTGCATCATTATATCTGTTTCCTACAATCATATAATGTTTCTATTCTACAAGTGCGTTTATAATAGTAAGGGATTAAATGTAACAACCTTTTATAATCATCCTATATTGCTTGCTGTTTAAATAGCTCCTTATGTCTATTTTCTTTTTTAGTGGCATAATCTATAAACACAACACTAAGAATCAGCCTATATAACCAAATATAAAATCACTTTTAACAATTATAAAAGACAATATAATACTATCTTATCTGTAATGTAATAGTATCCAAAATAAACAGCCAGATTCAAGCATTATTTACCAGACATTAATGTACTAATTTACTTATGGACTGTGTGGAAATCTAGAAACATAGAATCAGTGTAAATAGAGTTCCTCTGTTTGTCTTTTACCTTATTTCTAGAAGTAGAATCGATTAAATAGAACTATTTTTATGTGGAAAACAAAAAAATAGAAGAACGTCAGCATCCTTCTCGTGTTGTTATGTTCTACAAAATAAATTAACAGCTTTTATATACACCTGAACTGCCGTCAAAAAACAGAAAACAGTAATAGAAAAGAAATATTGGTGAAAGGGAATCAGAAATGTTGATAGATTACAGACTGCTCATTTAGACAGCAGTTTTCAGAACTCCTGTCTGACTCAGAATATTTTGTTTTATAAAAGAAATCCTAACTTTGGTTACTTTCATTTCTCAAGTTCCAAAAATCCAAACTATCTCCTGCTTCTTCATAGAACTGCAGTCAGAAGGTTTCGCCTGTTTTAGCCTAGAAAAAGAGTGGATTTCACCTGTTTACCTCTGCACAATTATACATCTTCAAAAGAAAGCACGATAGGTCAACATATAACAGGCATATATAGACTATATTTGGTTAAATAGGAATGTATTTACCTTCTGTCTTATTGGCTGGTAAGTTTAAATGCAAACATTTTCAAAGTGGAAAAAAGTCTTAATTGCACATTGATCAGAGCCAGTGATGCTTCAAACATTGCTAAACAGCATCTAGTGAGTGTAGTGCTTATAAGATTTGTATTAATCTAGGAAGAAATTATGCTGTTCTCTTTAAACACATCAAAGCCTGATGCTCACATTAAGCATAAAAAAAAGAGTATGCATATTTTTGCAAAGGACCAATGACATTAGACCAATGAAACTGAAGA